CTTTTGCCTGCAGGAGGCATATGCTATGCATGGTCTACTGCATAGCTTAATTCCTGTCTGTAAGGAAGCCTGTGATACTGCTAATGGTACTTTGTTAGGTCAGTGATTTAATGCTACTGGTGTTAAATACACTAACTCTCATGAGTGGGGGTGAATAACAAGAATGCTACCCATTGACATTTTCTCTCTTTACACTCCTTTTATAGCAACCAATGAAAACACCACTTGTGCTAGTCAACTGCTCTTCTGACAAATGCGTTACTACAACAAAAGCAAAATGGAATTGCTCACACGCAGTTAACATATATAATTGGGCAAACATCATCTTGCCTACAGGCTGTTTTTTGACATGTGGTCAACATACTTTTAGTTACATTCCAGCCAATCTGCCAGACACACAATGCTGCCTTGGTAGATTAGCAATCAACTTAATGCAACCTGTTGCATTGCAGAACTCCTCGCCTCAGCTGGGACGGGAAAGTTTATCTCTTGACAGTACCTGTAATGGTAAAGTTACTTTGTTATCCCAAGCAGAATATGTTTTACTCGCTATGTCACTTTTGGTGTTCCTGGCCTAGCTGTTCATAACGCTCACACTCTGGACAACATTGCATGCACCTTAGCTAAGACTATTAACCACACTTCCACTGCTATTTTCCTGCTGAATTAGGAACAACGTCAACTACGTAATGCTATTTTAGACAACCATGCAGCACTGGATTATCTCATGTTGCACAATCATATTGGTTGTGAGTCTTTTAATAATCTGTGTTGCTTCAATTTATCTGATAATACTAATACAGTGAACAATTAGCTTCCTCAGCTGAGACACCTTGCCAGTAACAGACGACAGGACATACTTCCTTCCTGGTGGGACAGTTTATGCTCATGGCTGCCCCACTTTGGATGGTTGTGCACTGTATTAATATATGCAATTATGATTTTTGCACGCCTTGTAATTTGCTGTTGTTTTATTCAATGCATTCCACCTTTTTTTCTGTAATTACTGCTTGTTGCAAAGAACCGCCTTCTGGTCTTCATAGAAAGGACTTATATGTAATCCGTAAGCATATTAAAGTATACCTTTAATCAGGGGTCTCAAACATGTGGCCTGGGGGCCATTTGCAGCCCGCCAGATGATAATTTGTGGTCCCCAACTTGCCTGTCCCCCCCAAAGTGCCCATGCGTCCTCTGCTGTCAAGAGCACCTGTGGGGGCCTCGCCCTGTTCTGTTTAGTTTCACAGGTACTGGTGGGGGATTTTCTCCTTTGGCAAGGAGAATTCTGTGAGGGTTTTAAAATTTTTTTAATGTATTGCCCTCCTCCCCACCCCGCTAGGCAGTTGCCAGTGCTCCCTCCCTTCTCCACTTTGTCCTGTTGTTGTTGGTGGTGGTGGTGGTAGTGAAGGAGCCAGAGGGGTTCGTGGATGGCAACGAGGGCTCACACAGCCCTCCTCCTCCTCGGAGCCCCAGCCGGGCTAAGGAAACTCCTGGGCAGCTTCCTCGGGCTCTTGCTCTGCTTGGTGGAAAATCTGATGCAGCCCAGCCTCACCCAGATTCTGCCTCCAGGTAAATTGAGTTTGAGTCCCCTGCCTTTAATTAATAAAAAAAGAAAAAGAGGAAGTGTGGGGAGCCCCTGCCCAAGGTTGCTAAGCTGTTGTCTGTTCTTCAATGTAGAGCATACTCTCCTGGATATGACACAGCTGCTTCTGAGAGGAGGAGCTCCTATCCATTCTTCCTCTTTCTCATAGAGATAGAGCTAACTTCAAAGCCTTTCTTTGGCCAATCCTAATTGGCATTATGTAACCAGTACCTTATCTGAATTCTGCCAACTATCTGTATACTATCAACAATCTGTAAGGTTAATAAAAGGGAGTCCTCCTGGGGGCATTGCCCCAGAGGTGTATGGGGAGGTGTGTGTGTGGAGGACTCCGCTGGTGGACATCTCTGTGTGACTGGCTTCTTTAACTTCTCTCTATAAGACTAATTGCTTTCCCAATGATCTGGTGATCACTTAAACTATCAGCCTTCTCATTTCACGACAACACAACTTGCAGATTTGTATCAGGCTCACCACCCCATCTTCCCTTGGAAGTTTCCATCTCCTTTTTAGGTCTGGGGCGCTGGTGTTTCAGCAACAGACACACTCTGTGACTCATAACAGATTCCTTTATCTCCAATCCTGATGTCTTGGGCAGGAGGTGCAAAAGGTCGCCTCTGAGGTGTTCTGGATCCAACCCTTCTCTTCTGGGTCCAGTGATCTCCCACGGGATGGGATCCTGCCAAAAGCCCTCTCCATGGGGTTGGTCCATCTCTCCCTTTCTCTCTTCAGCTAGTTTGCCTCTCTCCTCCCTGATCTTTCTCCTCCACTCTCTCACTTCTTTCTCCCCCAATAAGAAGGGTTCTCAGGTCTTACTTCACCTTTCTGCCTCTTCTGGAGGTATGATCAATTTCTTCAACTGTTTGGTCCGGGGATTCTCCAATCATATCCACTCCCAGCCTTGTGGTAATATCCTTTCCTTCTTTCGTGCTTCTGCCTCTCCAGCTTCCTCTGTCTCCCTTCTTGATTGTTCCTCCTGATATATCTCTCTTCCCTCCTCCTGTCTTCTTCCTGTCTTTTTTTCCTAACGTTTCCTTGGCTGACTTTCCTCTGATGGACCTTCTGCTTTCCTCACTGGAACGTCCACTTTAGACAACTCTGGCTCTTTATTTTCAGGCTCTCCCATCCCTTTTCTAGTCTGAATCTCAGATTCCTCACCCAGACCTATCTCTACCTTCCTGGTTTTCTCTGTGACTCTTCTCATCTCTCTATCTTCCTGTTCTCCCCACAAAGTTGTCACTTCTCTGATGGGTCATATGTTCTGCCTCTGGAGCTTTATGGGCTTCTCCCTCAACTTTTCAGGAAAGAACAGCATGCCAGTCCAGATGGGTTCAGTCCGACCATCACCCTCAGACAGACCATCAGTGACAAGGTGTTCAAAGCTCATCTGGGTATCTCACAAGAAGTCTTTTCATTTTTGCAATGATTCCAGGGAATTCCAAAACATGTTAATTCTGTACAAGCTTGTTTATTGACATAATTTCTGAATTCAATGCTTAAATATATTAAAGGCAGTATTACATGTGTGAGGAAAAAAGTGTAGGTACAGATCTACAAATCTAAAAGTCATGCAGTTATGCAAAAACTGTAGGCTTCCTTAAAACACATCCTTGCACCTTGTAAAAAGATGCAGGTATTTAAACTCAGGTTATTTGAGACATGATTGAATTAAATATATAAACACATTAAAACATATGAAAGCTCATAATCTAGAAAGACACAAAATGCATCTTCAGAAAACTTCAAAGTTCCTAAGAATACAATGAAAAAAGGCAAAAACCCTTTCAATGAAAGACCTGCAAAAGTATTTAAATTTTTACAATAAATATATATAAAGTAAAAAAAACTTATTTGGAGCTAAGTGTGTTGTTAACACACTGAAAATGTTCTTCTCATCCAACTGTATGTAAAATCCTTTGCTGTCTTTCACTGACATATGGTTACTGTATCTTTCCACTCTTCCCAGGACTTTCACCCAGCATCAATTCCATCATCTGTTGTACTCCATGAAAATGAAGCCTGTGCGGTTGATTCTCCATTGCTTTCTAATAGCAGTATGAGCAAGATCTCGTCCAATATTTCTATCCCTTTTTCTGCAACAGTTGGCAAAACCAAATTTTCCCAAATTTTCTCAGCCACTGAGAAGCTCAGATATTGCGGCTCACAGGGTTTGGCCACCTCCAACCCAGTGCAGCCTAGTGCCCGAAGAGACCACAGCTGGAAAAACTCAAAGTATCCCCTCCTTTGAATAATCAAACAAATGCCTAGCTTTGCATAAAGGGATATATTGATTTATACCCTCTTCAAAACTCAATTACTATTATTATTTATAAGGGCAACACCTTATAAAACAAATGACACCTTTTCTCTCTTCCTAATTGTTCATCTTTCATCAGTTAACCCGAGAACATCTGTTAAAGCTTCCACTGTACAATATATTGTTCTCCTTGGTTTGACAAAAGTTTCCACATCTACTTTGTGAGATTTCTTTGTTAATAAAAGTTAGAAGTAAAAGACATCACAAGCAGAAGTTCAAAATTCACTCCAATTTTTCTCTTTTCTCTCTGTTTCACATTACATGAATTTTGTTGCCTATAATTGCCAGTAGAAGCCAGCACATAACTGAATGAGCTACTTCTGTATTGTTAACAAGTTTTTTTTTAACCAAAACAAGGGGTTCCAATGTAAATTATATCCACAGGTATAATTTTTCTAAAAGCTTTCACTTTTAATGCACCTCTAAAGCATCTTTCAAAAAGCTTTCAGTTTTAGATGAAAAAGTTTGCCTCACATTAAGTTAATTTTTTGAATATTTATTTATTTATTTATTGGACTTATATACCGCCCCATAGCGCTACAAGCACTCTCCGGGCGGTTTACAATTTTTTAATTATACAGGCTACACATTGCCCCCCCAGCAAGCTGGGTACTCATTTTACCAACCTCGGAAGGATGGAAGACTGAGTCAACCTTGAGCCAGCTACCTGGGATTTGTACCCCAGGTCGTGAGCACAGTTTTAGCTGCAGTACAGCGTTTTAACCACTGCGCCACGAGGCTCTTCAGACAATTATGATTACTTCTTTCACTGAAGCTCTTTCCATATTCTCTGTATTTCTATACTTTCTCCCCCATGTCAGTTCTTTGATTTGAACTAAGGCAGTTTGTTAAATTAAAGATTTCTTCATATAATGCATTCAGATGGTTTCTTCCCTCAGTGAGATCTTTGATATGAACAATGAAAACTTCCTATTGAAGCTTTTTACATTCCACACGTTTCCATAGTTACAATTATTCCCCAGTGTGAGTTCTTTGATGTGACCTAAACTGAAGACTGTCTGAAGCTCTTTCCACATTCTATGTATTTATATGGTTTCTCCCCTCTATGAGTTCTTTGATGTGACCTAAAGTCATCTCAGTGAATAAAGCTCTTTCCACATTCTATAGATTTATATGGCTTCTCCCCAGTGTGTGCTCTTTGATATATCCTAAAGTAATGACTCCAACTAAAGCTTTTTACACATTCCATGTGTTTATATGGTTTCCCCCGTGTGAGTTCTTTCATGTGACCTAAAGGTATTGCTTTGATTGAAGCCTTTCCCACACGCTAAGCATGTATATGGCTTCTCCCCAGTGTGTTTTTTTATGTAAGCTAAGGTGACCACTCCGATTGAAGCTTTTCCCACATTCTATGCATGTATATGGTTTCTCTCCTGTGTGAATTCTTTGATGTGCATTCAGGTGACCACTACGGCTAAAACTAATTCCACATTCTATGCATTTATATGGTTTCTCCCCTGTATGGGTTCTTTGATGTGACCTAAGTGTATCCCTCCGATTGAAGCTCTTTCCACATTGTATGCACTGATATGGTTTCTCCCCTGAGTGAGTTTTTTGATGCAAACTAAGGTTACCTCTTTGACTGAAGCTCTTTCCACATTTCATGCACTTATATGGTTTCTCACCTGTATGGGTTCTGTGATGTGAATTCAAATGAACATTACTAATGAAACTCTTTCCACATTCCATGCATGTATATGGTTTCTCCCCTGTGTGAGTTCTTTGATGTGTCTTCAGGTGATCACTATGACTAAAACACTTTCCACATTCCATGCATTTATATGGTTTCTCCCCTGTATGGGTTCTTTGATGTGTCCTAAGGGCACTGTCCCAAATGAAGCTCTTTCCACATTCCATGCACGTATATGGTTTCTCCCCTGTATGGGTTCTTTGATGTGTCCTAAGGGCACTGTCCCAAATGAAGCTCTTTCCACATTCCATGCACGTATATGGTTTCTCCCCTGTATGGGTTCTTTGATGTGTCCTAAGGGCACTGTCCCAAATGAAGCTCTTTCCACATTCCATGCACGTATATGGTTTCTCCCCTGTATGGGTTCTTTGATGTGTCCTAAGGGCACTGTCCCAAATGAAGCTCTTTCCACATTCCATGCACGTATATGGTTTCTCCCCTGTATGGGTTCTTTGATGTGTCCTAAGGGCACTGTCCCAAATGAAGCTCTTTCCACATTCCATGCACGTATATGGTTTCTCCCCTGTATGGGTTCTTTGATGTGTCCTAAGGGCACTGTCCCAAATGAAGCTCTTTCCACATTCCATGCACGTATATGGTTTCTCCCCTGTATGGGTTCTTTGATGTGTCCTAAGGGCACTGTCCCAAATGAAGCTCTTTCCACATTCCATGCACGTATATGGTTTCTCCCCTGTATGGGTTCTTTGATGTGTCCTAAGGGCACTGTCCCAAATGAAGCTCTTTCCACATTCCATGCACGTATATGGTTTCTCCCCTGTATGGGTTCTTTGATGTGTCCTAAGGGCACTGTCCCAAATGAAGCTCTTTCCACATTCCATGCACGTATATGGTTTCTCCCCTGTATGGGTTCTTTGATGTGTCCTAAGGGCACTGTCCCAAATGAAGCTCTTTCCACATTCCATGCACGTATATGGTTTCTCCCCTGTATGGGTTCTTTGATGTGTCCTAAGGGCACTGTCCCAAATGAAGCTCTTTCCACATTCCATGCACGTATATGGTTTCTCCCCTGTGTGACTTCTTTGATGTGACCTAAGGTCACTAGTCTGATTGAAACTCTTTCCGCATTCCATGCATTTATATGGTTTCTCCCCTGTTTGGTTTCTTTGATGTGATCTAAGGGTACTGTCCCAAATGAAACTCTTTCCACATTCCATGCACGTATATGGTTTCTCTCCTGTTTGAGGTTTTTGATGTGTACTAAGTTGACTGCTTTAGCTGAAGATCTTTCTACACAGCAAGCATTTATACTGCTTCACACCTCTGAGGGGTTTTTCACCGGAAAAGTTATTGTTTATATTCACGGTCTTCCCATGCTCCATTCATTGATTTAGTTTTTCCTTTCGGTCAAAGCTGCCATGTCTATTGATATCTGAAGTTCATTTGAATGCCTTTCTGCCCATGATGCACCTTCTCCTTCCTTTTCCTAGACGTTTTTCCCAATCATCAGGAGTTGTAAAAATCAGCACTCTTTGAAATTGGAGATGTACTCTTCCCTGTCATTGGTTGGCTTCCATTCTGTCTTTCTATCTCCTTTTCGGTGTTTAACTGTATTTTTTCCCCACTTCACACTTGTTTCTTGTCCCTGTCGAAATAGCTGAATATATAGAGTTCTGGTTGTCCTGATCTGTTATCTGAATAAAGAAAAAGACGAATATAGCATTGAACCAGTTAAAAACATACAAAAATGGTTCATCTATTCAGAATCATAGAATAATTTAGTTGGAAGGGGCCTTTAGAGCAATACGACAGTAAAACCAGTTACTTCGGGAGTTGGTAAGTGCTCCAACACAGAGGTACTAGAAAAACTTGCACAATCGCCTGGCAGATATACTTTGATAGTAGTGTTAAACAGGGACTTGGACTTAATGGCCTTGTAGGCCCCTTCAAACTTCAGTTTCTATGATTCTATAGGTTCATTGATATCCCCTCTCCAGGAATCACAATCAACATATATCAACAATCTGGTGGTCTTGATTTTCACATCTCTTTCAGAGATCACTGCTCTAATGTGATCAGACTGCTCTAATGTTTAAGAGTTTTTTTTCCTAATATTCAATAAAAACCTGGTTTTCTCTGTTTCCTGCATTTTGCAGTGATTAAGAACAAATCCTGTCCCTCCTCTTTCAAGGCTGCCTTTCAAGCTCTTTGAAAGCTGCTATCAGATCTCGCCTCAGTCTTCTTTTCTCAAGGCTAAACATGCCCAGTTCTTGCAGTCTCTCCTCATAGGGCTTGGTTTCCAGTTCCCTAATCATCCTTCTTCCCTTTTGCTGAACCTGTTCTAGTTTGTCAGCATCCTTTCATAAGATGAAGCCTAGCTGGGAGAGGAGGTTTGGAGATGGATGGCACCATTATGAGGATGACACTGAACTCTCTGAACATTGACCATCAGTGGATTGGATGAGCCCAAATAAACTACAAATGAATCCATCCAAGACATAGGTCTTGTTGGTCAGCCAAAAGACACATGAAAGAATAGGTATTCAGTCTGTAGTGGATATGGTGACATTATCCCTGAAAACTCTAGTGTGAAGTTTGGTGGTAATCCTGGAGTCATCTGTGTGCCTGCATGCCCAGTTGTTGGTGGTGGCCAGGAGTGCCTTTGCACACTTAAAACTAGTGTGCAAGCTATACACATTTCTGGAGACGTCTGAGCTGGCCATAGTCTCTCATTCCTTGGTTACTTCCTGACTCAATGACTGTAATTTGTGCTATATGAGGTTCTCTTTGGTGAATTATTTGGAAATTTGAGGGGTTAAAAAATGCTGGTGCCAGATAGAAGCTGGGGCTGGTTACAGGCAGCATACAACTTAAAGCAGCTCCACATGCTGCTAATCTATTTACGAGCACAATTCAGGGTGTTAATTCTAACCTATAATGCCCAAATACCTTGGGCTCAAGCTACCTAAAATACTAATCTTCCATTATGAGCCTATTTGGATATTGATATCATCGCGAGATATCTTTCTCATGGTCCCTTTTTCACAATCACATCTCACTATTGGCTCATATTCAGCTTGTGAATCAAAACAATTCCAGTTTCATTCTCTCTTTTAGTATTATTTATTTCAATTTCATTCTCTCTTTTCGTATTATTTCATTTATTTATTTAATTTATACCCTGCCCATCTAGACCGAAGTCTACTCTGGGTAGCTAGCAATAAAAAATAGAATAAAAACAATATGATAAAATAAAAAACAAGAATAATAATATAGTTCAAGATTATGGAGCCAATAATAGGGCACCGGGCTCACCACTGAGACTTGTGGTTACCTCACTTGTTACCTCTCCCCTGTTTGAGAAGGAGCCATTGATTCATCTCCCATTTTCATTTTAATTTCTAGGTCACGAAAAAATGCCTTGATTTCTGTTTTAAATTCTGAAATTTCCGCCTTAAAATGGTTTATGATGTCCTCTTGCAATTCTTGAAAAAAAATTCTCCATTGTAAAATTCCAATAAATAAATCTTGGACTCTTATCTCCAAACCGTGGCTATAAAAGTCAAAACAAGCTACTTGCCCTTCATAGTTCCTTAGTCAGCCTGAACTGAAAGTCCTGCAGAGAGCTCTCTAGTCATAAAGATGATTATTTGATTTATAATCCACATTTATAGCCCCACGGAGAGTCACATAGATTAAATTATTCAAAGTTATTTAAAGTTCTCAAGCCTCTCTGATTTATAAAAAGCCAAATTCTTGGGAAGGAAGGGAGGGAGGGTTGGGGGGGAGACAGATTAGTTTCGCTTTTGCCAGTTCTCTCAGCTGTGACGCAGTGAAAAAAAAGCTCCAAAATTGTAGGGGTTACCAAAGTTCTTGCCGTTTGAGATCTATTTCCACAATCAGCTTCCAAGAAGAAGAAAAAAATACATTTGATCTATTACTTGCCATAGAAATAGCAGTTCCTTTAGTCTTTGTTCTTGTATTCAGGTCATAAATCTTCATACCTCCCCCTTCCTCCAGGCAGCTACACACCATTCATCATGGCATCTTCACGAGTCAGTTGCAATGTGGAAAGGAAACTCTTCCGAAAAAAGATTGCAGGTCTGAATCTCGGAGGCTTCCAAGCCACACTTGTTGCAAGTCCACTCTCCTGTGGAAAACCTGCCCCCCTTTCCTGGGGGGGTCCACTGACTTGGAGTAAAACCCAGGGGTTCTCAGAGCCCTGAGAATTCCCCTGTTCTTGCTGTCCGTTGCTCCTCCCTCCTCCTTTCCAAACCTTTTTTGAATGGCCACCCTCTACAGTAACCTGCGACCCCACCACGTTTACATAAAAAGACTTTTCAATGAGGGTATCATTCCACCCCCAGGTTGGTGATTGTTGAAAATCAGGATGAAGCTAAGAATAAAACATATGAATCAAAAAAAAGAGAGGAAAAAGTGTCTTCTGGTATTGGGGGGGAGTTCATATTGGGGGTGCAAAGGGAATTCCTCAGAGATCCTTGAGGAGTCTCTTGAGAGGAAGATGGCGGTAAAGTGATGCCATCTCCGAGCTCTGAGGCTGATGAGACAAGAGAGCCGCAGTGGAGACCTTGAGGGTGGAATGGGATAAAGCTTGTTTGAAGAGAAGCAGAAGGAAGGGAAAGAGAGCGTCCAGAGAAGGGGTCGTAGCAGGCAGACTGCAAACTTGGAGAAAACATTCCATTTGCATAATACAAGTTGCTGAAAGTTTTATCGTTCCGACTAGGACAAGGGCTATCAAGGGTGAATTCTCCATGCTATGAGGTGGAAAGTCTGAAGGACAAGAGATGCTGCCATTGTCTTGAGGGAGTAAATGCGGCAGCATCGGGAGTGGAAAGAAGTCAGCTGCCAGTGACTTCAGTGTCCTGAATCATGGCTGGCCAAAGGAGGAAAAAGATACAGGCGGCTTGAAGGTGTCTTCTAATGATTCTCTGCCAATATCTGCTTTTGAACAGTAATGGTCACATTCCTTGGTTATGGTAGTAGCAAAAACATCCATGGAGATGGTGCCCCACTTGTGGCACAGCGGAAGAAAGACCAGGTGATCTAGAGCCCCTTCGTGGGCTTGGGTATGCAGACTGCTTAGATGGTCTGCTACGGTGTTGTCCTCTGTTGAGATGTGAACTGCAACTGGGAAGATGTGACAGGCAAAGCGCCATTCGCAGACTCGAATGGCCAAGTGAAGGAGAGAGCGAGCGAATGGGTTCCACCCGACTTGTTTATGGAGTAGAACTGGAGGGTTGTCAGGAATCTGAACAGCGCGGCTGACTAGAAGACGTTTGAATGCTTGAGAGAGGCTGGGAGTACAGTGAGGTCTCTACTTACGAACGGCCCGAGTTGCGTACTTTTCGACTTACGAACCGCTCTGAGAGGAAAATATGTCCTCGACCAACGAACTTTATTTCG